GCAGGGCCGCTAGCGCATTTTCTCCCTAGATGTTTGTGTATATAGATTGTACATCGAAGCTCAATAATAAGTATGTTTCTTACTGTGTAATGTTTTTGAGCCTATGAAAAAATTCAAATGAATATTTTACTGTGTTTCATATTCTGTCGTTTAACTTCTTGAATTTCAGACATATGAACTTGGCCAATTTGTGTGTTGCTCCACAACTGTTGTTGACTATAAGCATTAGTGTCTCCCTTTCTTATGTATCATCGATAATCAATAGACAGTTATAGGTCATGCAACCATTTTTATTAGTAAAATTATTGTGCATCCACCGAGCTTCCCGTTCCTATACATATATTTTGGCATATCACGTAAGGCTCAGTTTATCTTCATAGTTTGACCCTTTTTAATACACGATACCGGATCCTGCCTAGGAATATACATTCGGAATTATCGGTATATTGTTTTCTGTCCATCATCACTGTCGCTCCTCCTTTAACCGCCTAAAGAACTAAATGCTTATTCATTTCCAGGGCCTTACATATCCTCAAAAATCTGATCCCCTGTGTTGGTTTCTGATGTATCAAGATCCTTTAAATTATTTACATATCTAATTCCCGTATTTTGTTCTTAAATAACTTTTAGGAGATGTTGATGACCTCCACCAGAGTGTCTTCTAGAGTGTTTCTATCATTTTGGAGGGAAAAGTTTAGTCCATGGCGAGGAAAAATGCGTCCTCTTATTCCGATCATTGGTGAGAACTAGTGCCTGGAGTAAAATATACTCTAGGACTAAAATCGAGCTAAGTCGGTCAACCAGAAAGATAAAAAACGGTTCTACGGGTTCATTAGAGAGACCCGGAAATGAGGCTAAAATCGGATCAACAAATCGAGAAGGAAAGAAAGCAAGCCAAACAGCGGTTATGATGACGCCACACAAAGCTTGCCAAAAAAGGAAACATCTTTAGAGACTGAATATAAAAAGGTCAGAAGTTATAATAGGGCAGAAGTGAGATAAGAGGGTAAGGCAGTGATTCCCAAACTGTGCGCCGCAGCCTCTTAACAGGGGCGCCGCGAAATATTGTAAAAGCTTCAATTTAAGAAAATGTTCTGTGATTTGCAGGCTCATCCATCACATTAATTATTAAATATTAATATAATGTTAATAAAGTATAAAAAAATAATGAAGATATACGAGGTTGATTTATTTTTACCTATTACTTACGAATAGTCATACTTAGGATAGGGCGCCATGAAAAGATTTTAATTAAAAAAGGGCGCCACGACTAGGAAAAGTTTGGGAACCACTGTGGTAAGGGGTAGGTAGATGGGCCAGGACAGGCGTCTCGGCAGAAAGTTGGTTAATGGAGTGACTTCATTTGTCTCTGATGGATTGTACCTTGGTGCTGGGAATAGCAAGACTCACTGACGAAGCCGGTGAAGCGTCTGGAAATGTACCAAGTCCACGGACCGACGCTGGGAATCATAATAATTACTATAGCAAAGAACTTCAGATAAGGTGCGCTCAACTAAATCTTTCTGACAACAATACCATGTTGCGAAAACGATGTAAGACCACTTTTAACTATCCGTTAGGATTAATTGTTAATAATTTCGAAATACTAAGATATGTAGTGAGAGAAAACCATTATCCAGGTCAAATCAAGATAGTAGACAATTCTTCGTCCAATTTCCTAAAGCTACCGTCCTTCAAGCTTTCGTAGAAAATAGGCAAATTGCCGAACTTCAGGACTATGTATGCAAATATACTAACCTTTCTCTCCCTCATGTCTTCTTTTAGAAAATCTACAGATAAAGCTCTGAAATGGTTTTGCGCTCATGTGGTAGAGTTTATATGGGGGAGACTCGTCGATCCATACATAATAGGCTACTAGAACATAAAACCGTCTGCAAAGGTCTATTGCTTCGGAAATCAGAAGTGGCTGAATACCTGATCACTACAGGACACCAAATAGTATTATAAAACCCAACGTTTTGCCCGATATGGGGACTTACCAACTAAGCAAAATATAGGGGAATCGAGTAAAATCAACAAAATAAAGAACAACCCAAATAAGATGAATAATGAATGCTTCTTCGAGGAAATATCAAAAAATGAGAATTTGTCTACCAACCTCACTTATACTCCCCTCAAGTATACATTTGTCTATCCCTTAGTTCTCATAGGCTATAATATCTAAGTTAGCATAGGATTTGATTTGATTTGATCTTATTCCAGTTATCATCACTTTATTTTGATACTTCGGAAAAAGTACCTCGTTCAAACTCATTTTAGTCAAGTATTCTTCCATTAATGTATCGTTGACTAAAACTTTTTTTTAAATTCTGATATCAGTGAAGTCAACGTCAAGAGCTATGAGTGTAGAAAAAATCATAGAATAAGACATTTTTAAAGTAACGACACAAGACCTCGAGTAGACAAAAGACAACATCATCGTGATCATTAAATATGGATTTAGCTCTTTGAAATAAAAGCCGCGAAACAAGCTATTAATAACCAAGTAGGTTCAGTTTATTTGTTAGCCCCATAAGGTTAAATCTAGAGCCAAATTGTAGTAAAAGTAATAGTAGCGTTATAGCATGTATTAATATTGTTGTCTAAACTTAGATAAAATGGCACAGTCAATATAACCCCATGTTAGAGAATATATTGAACTTAATCTTAGTAAGAGCAAAATATACGTGACAAAATGGCCCATTGAACGATATATTTTAAATAGCTTACGTTAAGCTGAGTACATAATCTTTAAGTGATGTGGATCTGTTGCTATCATAACAGGTGAAATCACTTGAGAAATAATCATGGCCTTTTGCCTGGGTGATTATAATAAAGTCGTGCATAAACATTTAGATAAATGACTACCTTTTCAACATTCTCTGTAATAGAGGACTGCGCCTGAAGTTTTGTCTTGACTAAAGCAAGAGGATAAGTGGCAACTTGTCCACATACAGAGGACAATGCGCCTGAACAGAGCGAAATGACGACTGGTGGCACCAAGGGTAGCTTTGTTGAACCAGAATCTCCAGTCCGGCCAACGGACTCGGCTTTAACGGAGAGAGGTTGATTCCAGTTGGTGGCCAAATGTTTGAAGGTTTCATAAAGAGCCATATCGACGCCTGCGTAAGGCAATATACCAAGTAAGTTTGGTACGTAACCCCGATAGAAGACTCTCCATCCATGTGTTCGATACAACTGACCAGCACAATCCCATATTGAGCTGTATTGGCCGGTTTTCCTAAGACACATACGTGTTTTTAATACCTGAGGCCAAAGGTAGGATAAAGCAATTATGAATGAGATAACGAACGAATATTGGAAATAGCAAAAAAGTTATGACTAAAAGCCTCCTGAAGGCTCGCTAGATCGTTTTACTATTAGAGCAATAAACAGGTAAGGTGAAACTTACCGAGCTCTTATACTTCCCTTACTTACAGCATATCCTTATGTTATAGGATAAATATATTTAGTAGAGGTTTTAAATTAGCTCCAAGATGGATTGAGATTTAAAGGTTAAGGAATCGTTTACAAGCAATCTCTTGGACTTAAGCCATTATTATTGATGTTGTGAGTCGATGCTATGGGCTGGATCCTACCAGTTTTTCGTGTATAAGCAGAATTTTGAGACTACCATTAACTCAGCTATATGAGATGCATTCACCTTATTTCGTTTAAGGTGATGAAGGATAGGTAAGTGAATTTTCCCACAATGATATGAGTTAAGCTGACGTTTCCCATGAATTTCACATAGCTGAGTTTTATACTTCAAGTAGCCATAACACCCGATAGGTATGTAATTCCAGAGGTCAGGAAGAAACATTAAATATGATTGCATAAGATAGTTTCCGACCAAAGATACAAGATTGAAGAGACTTTCATTCCGTATAGAAGTGCATAAAGAAGAGATTCGAAGGTCGATCTTACCATAAGAGGATGGCTGATTCGCGTTATACTGCAACCGTTTGGCCTTAACACAGCGTTCAGGTTGACGCAGTCCACGATACATTCCCTCTCGTTTTGCATTACAGCCAAACAGCTACAGTACAACGCGAATCAGCCGTTCTCTTCTGGTGAAACTAACCTTCGAATCTCTTCTTGATGCACTTTCAAACGAAATGAAAATCTCTTCAACAATGCTATCTCATGAGAGTCATCGACACCTATTTACTCGTCGTAGCTACAAAGAGACAATATCAAAAAATAAGAAGTCAGAAAATGATAAGCGATTGTGTGAATGTCAGTCTAAAGGAGCATCAGGAAAATACAATTGGGGCTTCTACAGTGGTAAAGATGACAGGTAAAAAATGGTGGACTGAAACTGTAAAAGTGATGACCAATTTGAAAATAAAGTAAGCTTTCTCTGCACACCTATTTACAGACCTGAAGTAGTGACGTAAGTTGAAAACGACAGGAGAAGTTTCGAAATGGAAACAAACCATTTACAACAAGATACTATATGGATGAGGAAATCAGGCTCTCTATAAGGTACAGTTAAACCTATCAAAAAGGGGGTTTAATGGAAAACAGCTTGAGGAGCTTAATGAAGGAAAGTTGTCAATACGGATAAAATAATTTCTAAGCTAACACGCAAATCACTTCTAATTCTACGCTTTTCCTTCATACAGGCTGAACACTATTTATTTTACTACGCAAAGTAATCTTCAAGTTCTAGTTACTCTCGTTACAGAATAAAGAAATCAAAACATGTGTCGAGCGTATTTTCTAACGTGAAAAGTTATCCTGATGATACAATAGGATATGCAGATTTAGATAGCTCGGCATCTTATTTAAGGCGCATTAGTAGGAATTTCCTGGACATTTTCAAAATATTCTATATTGGACATTTTTGGATAGTTTGATAGTCCATACGTAATCTGAGATTGTAAAGGTCAATGAAGGTCCTTTATGCATACTTGTTTTTAGCCTTTAAAGAAGAATGTATAACACTAATCACAGTTAAAATTCAAACAGTTCGGACAGAGACTGGATGTGAGTTGGTTACATTTCGGAAAGGCTGGTTGCAGATGTCGTTAGGAGT